CCGCGCGGCGCCGCGGGATGGCCCCGCGCCCCCCGCCTGCCCCCCCGGCGGGCGCTGCCGGGGTCAGGGTGGGCCTGAGGCGCACACCAGGGCGGGAGACAGAGCGGTGGCCGTAGGGCAGCCAGTGGGTGGGTGCTGGGTGCAAGGCTGGGTGCAGTGCCACGGGCACCACGGGCGCTGGGTGCAACATTGCAGGGCACCGTGGGTGCTGGGTGCATTGCCGTGGGGTGCCATGGGTGCTGGGTGCGATACCATGGGGCAGCAGCGGTGCTGGGTGCGGTGCCATGGGGCAGCACGGGTGCTCCCACGACGCCCCTGGCCCCCGCAGTGTCTCGAAGTGCTCAGGGCAGAGACACTGGGCTGGCTCGGGCGTGCGCGTGTGCGGCCCCCCCGTGCACACACACCCGCCTGTGTGTGCACACACCCTGCCATGCACGCACACCCATGCACACCCCCGTGCATGCTGCTGGTACGGATCCGTGAGCACCTCCCCATCCTGTGCATGCATCCACACGCGTGCACGCACACACCCATGCGCACACACCTGCACGTGCACACACACGTGCAACTACAAATGCACGCACGTACCTACCCGTGTCCACACGCCCGTCCATCCCTCCACGCCCATGTCCACACGCACGCCACGTGCAACGCACGGGTGCATGCCTACCCTTGCACACACGTGTGTGCACGCGCAGCATGCACAGACGTGCGCACACGCTGCTCTCCCCGACCACGCGTGCAACGCCCAGCGCTGCCCACGCCCACCCACCCTTCCACGTACACACAACGTGCACGCGCACGGCCACCCTGCTACGCACACGCGTGCACCGCCACGCGTGCAGGCCCACACGCGTGCGCACACGCCCGTGCTCCCCGTGTCGCATCCCCTCGGGACAGGCAGCTCAGCACCGGCCACCGAAGCCCCGTCTCCCCCGCGGGCCGAGGCGCTTTGCAGGCAGCCTGGCAGCGCGGGCAGGCTGCTAATTAAGGCAGGCTGCTAATTAAGTGGCTGAAGCCTCCAAAGTCCTTTCCACCCCAGCGGGTCTGTAAAAGCGCTGGCCGGTCGCCGCTGGAGCCTGGCTGGGGCTCAGGACACCGGGTCCCCTTCCCAGCTCTGGCAGGGGCCTGATCCTGCCACGGCCGCGCTGCCTGTGCGTGGCCATGTCACCGGTCACACGTGCAATGAGTTTGGGGGGCCTGGGCGGGAAGCGAGGGCCGGGACCCCTCCCCGGGCAGGGGCTGGGTGCCAGGGGCTTTCCCCGGGCGGCTGAAAGGGGCTTTGTGCGGGGCCGGAGCCGGCGCTGCCCGGCACAGCCGTGGGGTGCCTTTGTGCCGGGGCACCGCGCTGCCGGGAAAGGCGGGGGGACGGATCCAGGCACGGCGGCGGTGATGGGCACGGGGCCACCGTCAGCACTGGCCCCTCAGAGCCACGGCGTCATGGCCACAAACTGGGGCATGGCCAGGCCTTGGGGACAGTGCGAGCAGGGGATGGGGGTGCTCTGGGGACACAGGGACGTAAGGGAGACATGGTGGCATCGGGGTGGGTGCCCCGAGGGGCAGCTGGGATGAAGATGGGGGTCCCTGGGGTGCTGGTGGGGACGCCGTGGGGACAGGGACGGGGACAGGTCTCGCCGGCTGGCAGCTAGGTGGCAGTCGATGGCCGGGAAAGGCTCCCTGCCCGCTCGGGGACAGGGACACACAGCCAGGCCCCGCTGGCCCACGGCCACCATCACTGGGCCACCAACAGCGGCCGGTCAGGGAGGGTTGTGGCAACAGCCCTGTCCCTGTGGGTGCAATCTGTGGGGACGTACGGGTGGGACTGGTGGCACTGGGACTGGTGGCACTGGGACAGCGACCATGGACAACCTCTTGCCAGCCCTCCATCGCCATGCTGGGTGGCCCCGTGTCCCCCCAGCTGTCCCCAACCAGTGGCACCAGCAGCGGGCAGGGTTTTTTCCCACAGAAACGCCCGGTTTGGGGCACCTACGGACCCCATATACAGCACTGGGTGTCCCCACCCCGCCAGAACAGTGACATCCCCGGGGACCCGTGCTGCGTGACAGCCCATGGTGGCAGGGGACCTCCCTCCCTACAGACTTTCTGAAGTCCCCCGGGGTGCACAGGCCCCGTGGGGCAGGGGGGGACAGAGCAGGGGCGCGGGGGCTTTGGGGTCCTGCACGAGCCCCCGCGCTGCTCCCCAGGGATTTATTTTCTCCCAGCTCCTACGCAGTCGGGATCAAAGCAGGGAAAGCTGTCACTCCCAGCGGCTGCGGGGAGGCAGAGCCGGGCTCTCCCCCCTCCTCCTCCTCGGCCCCCTCTTAATGAGACAAACGAACTGGGAGCAGGCTGGAAGTTTTAATTAGAAGCTTCCAGCCTCTGAGAAGACAAAGGCGAGATTTGCCGCTGCCAGGCAGGAAAGTAGAGCAGGAGGAGCCGGTGACCCCAGTCCCCGGGGGAGAGCAGCACGCCCCATCCTGCTCCTGCCACGCTTGGTCACCTCTGGGGGTGGTTACGGGGAGCTGGTGCAGGCAGCCAGATGTGGCCCGGTGCCCAGATGTGCCCTCGCATGGCAGGAAGGGGGTCGAGGGGGGCTAGGGGACAGTCACGGTCCCCAGGTAGGGATGCTCAGAGCTCTCTGGCCCAGGACCAGGGAGACAGGGGTGGCAGGGACAGGGTTTTAGCAGGGGGAAAGAGGGTGGAAACGCTCTCCCCCCTCTCTCAGCAAAGCAGCAGGAGCCTCCACCGCCTCTTGCCTGTGCCCTCGGACACGGAGCAAGTGGCCCAGAGCCCCCCAGGCCCAGCAAAGGGGGCAGGAGGCACCCAGGGGGTCCCGCCGATGCCAGGAGATGTAGGGGGAAGAGGGGAAACCACGATAGAGCCCAGCCCCAGGAGCAAGGGCCTCTTCCAGGCCCGCTCAGCCAGGAGCCGCTACCCAGCCCCGGCTCCCCGCGCAAGGGGGAGGCGAGAAGAAACAACCGCACGTCTCCCCTCACCCCTCTAGTTGAAAACGAAAGGGTTTATTAAAATAAAAGTGTGTGTTATTTCTTAGCATCACCCATCTGTTAGCACTCGACACCCCGGCGCGGATTAGAGAGGGGCTGAGAGGGAACAGCAATAATCCATCTGCTGCAGAAACACACAGGGCTGCGCCGAGGTGGGGTACGCGCAGTGGGGGACAGGGGAGGGGGCCGGAACTCAAGGGGCAGAAGGGCTTGAGGGGATCCTCCTGGGGCTGCAGGAAGGGTGGGACGGGGCTCCCAGAGAGAGAGAGAAAAGTTTGGCACCTGGGTTTGGACATGGGGAGGGATCCTGGGGGGTGCAGCTATCAGCACAAGAGTTTCACGGGCTGGGGGGTGGGAGCAGGGGGGATGCTGCTGACTGCGCCAGCTCTTTGGTGGTCCTCTTCCTGCCCTTCCAGGCCAGAGCGCCCGAGGGATGTTCTGAGGGGAGGGAGAGAAGTGGATGAGACAGCTCCTGGGTAAAAGCAGCAAAGCCAGGTCCCCTCCTGATGGAGATCCAGGCGCTGCCAGCTCCCTCCTCCCTTCTACCCCTCACCCAGCACCCACCACCCTCCCCCGAGGCTGTGGCTGCAGCCAGCAAGCAGCAAACCCCAAACAGCATCTTCCACCAGCACCAAACATCCAGATTCCAGGTATTCCCCCCGCCTGAACTGGAACCGGGCTGGCACAGCACCAGTTTGCTGCCTGCCCCGAGGCAGGGATCAACTCCTGCAAGCCCATCGTGCTGTGGGGAGAGGGGTTCCAGGGGGCCCGGCCGGGTGCGGAGGGGGCCAGGGCTCACCTGGGAGGCGGGAGGGCTGCGCAGATCTCTGGCTGCTGCTTGGGAGTTGAGCGATGCGGCTCTGGAGCGCACCCAGGGAGGAAGCGGTGCTGCGAGAGAGAAAGGGGCCATTTTAAACCCCCGAGGCTCAGGGCGGAGGCCCCCCATCATCCCCAGATGTCACAGGCGAGGTCCGATGCAGGCAGGGACGGGGGCCTGAGCCCCAGAGGGGAGCACAGGCCGGAGCTGCCCGCCCTTGCGGCCTGCACGGAGCGCTCTGGGGCACGGGGTGCCAGCAGCTGTCTCACCTCTCTGCTTGCTTCCGCTTCTGTGCGGATGCTTTGGAGACAGAGGAGGGCTTGGGGATGGAGGAACCCCTCATGGCAAACACCGAGACGCAGGCTCTGCAGACAAGGAAAAGGGGGTTAGTGCCAGGACCGGAGCCTGACCGCCCGCTCTCGCAAGGCTGGGAGGCAACCGGGCCAACGCCATCCACCTGCAGGGAACAGAAGTCGCAGGAAACCTGCACGGTTTTGTAGGGGAAAATGATTCAAACAGGGATAAATCCTCAGGAGAGCCACACAGGAGGCGGCAGCCGCCCAGGTACTGCTGCTCCCTGAGGTGGCTGGGCCATTCCCCTGTGCCTCAGTTTCCCCAGTTACCCGCCAGAGGAACTATTTTTCCCTAGAGCTACAGGAGGAGATAGGGAGACCTAAGGGTGTCCTGCATTCCCAAGGGCATGCTGATCTCTGGTTTTGGACAGTCACACAAATTCACGCAGCTCTGTACAAGCCAGAGCCTCTTTGAAGCACCAGCAATATAAAAAAAAAACAAAAACAAACAAAAAATCCCCACAAAACTGAAACGAAAAACCCCAGACTGCACAGTCCCGACCCTTGCTCCAGCCTCCCCGGGAGGAGAGGCGGTGCCCCACCTGCTGCCCACCCAGCACTTGGGGCTCCAGAAGCCATCTGGAGGATGCTCCTCCACATCCAAAGGCAAATGGAGAAGGAGAAACAGATTTTCTTGGAATGCTTTTTGTATCTTTGCAAGCGATTCACACAGGAGCTCGGCCTGCTGGCTGCCCATCCGCAGGCCAAGTGTCTTCTGCCCACTCTCCCCTCTCAGCAGAGCTGCAGTGATCCACAAAGGATTCACCCAGACAGCAAGACCATGGAGGGGGAGATCCCCGAAACCATGGGTGAGCCATCCAGGGCAGCACTTACTTGGGCACAAAGGGGCCATCCTGCTTGTTTAGAAGGCTCTGGACATTCTCCCAGGCAGGGAATTGAGGCAGGCTGAAGGCAGCTGGGTTGGCCACACCGGGTGAATCATTGTCCTCGCAGACCTCAAAAGTCACGTTCAGGTCGTGGACGGGCAGGGCGGACAGGCTGCAGCGGTTTTGGGCAGCCGACATCGTCAGGGGCACGCGGCTTTTGGTGACCGTCAGCGGGCAGATTTTGGGGGTGCAACACGATGGCACCGGGGAGACAGGGAGTGCCTGGGCTGCTGCTTTGAGACAGGGGGAGCCCAGGCTCTGTGTCACCCTGGGAGTCTCTGCTGCTTTCCCACCTCTCCGCTGGCGTTTTGTCCGCGCTTTGAGGCTGCGGGAAGTTCCCTGTTGGGAAGTGTTGTTCATCTCAGACCTCCTCCTCTTCTTAATCGGACTGGGAGCCACTGGTGTGGGACCGGAGAGCGGAGCAAGCTGCTCCAAGCATTGCAGGGCAGCGTTCGTCACAGGGGAGCTGGGCACAGCGACAGACATCTCTGCTAAAGGAGCAGAGAAGAAACAGTCACCTCCTTGTCTGCAGTTCCCAGGCACCCCCAAACCCCGGGGCATCCCCCTCCGCCCCCCGTCACAGCTCAGCGGAGATCTGCCCA